GGTTGAGGGGTGTTGGTTTTAGGGGTGAGGGATGTTGGTTTTGGGGATGAGGGGTGTTGTTTTGGGGGGGTAAGGGTTGTTGGTTTTGGGGGGTAAGGGGTGTTGGTTTTGGGGGTGAGGGATGTTGGTTTGGAGGTTGAATGGTGTTGGTTTTGGGGGTTAGGGATGTTGGTTTTTTGGGTTGAGGGGTGTATAAGATTTGGAGGGGAGTCTGGTCGAGGTGAGGCTAGTAGAGGTGAGTCTGGTGGTAAGGGTTGTTGGTTTTGGGGGGTAAGGGGTGTTGGTTTTGGGGGTGAGGGATGTTGGTTTGGAGGTTGAATGGTGTTGGTTTTGGGGGTTAGGGATGTTGGTTTTTTGGGTTGAGGGGTGTTGGTTTTGGGGGTGAGGGATGTTGGTTTGGAGGTTGAAGGGTGTTTGTTTTGGGGGTGAGGGATGTTGGTTTTGGGGGTGAGGGGTTTTGGTTTTAGAGGTGAGGGGTGTTGGTTTCGCGAGTGGGTGAGGGGTGTTGGTTTTGGGCGAGTCTAAGCTAGACAGGGTCCATCGGCAAAAGGCACAACCTTAAGTGCCCCAAACTTGATTGAATTTAGTTCATGTTTAGCTTGTGGTAGAGTTAGAGTCGGCCCTGTTATTGTGGCTATTTTTAGCGCTTCCCTGCCTAAAAGTCTAAAATGTCTTCATCAGCAGCACTACATGCCATAATGGGCTATGGCCAGCTCCCCCACATCCTTCCATTCGGATCGAGCATGACTTTCCGCCTCCATGTTGGAACCCCCAGCTGGTGTAAGTCATTCTCTACACCGTCGATAAATTTCAGTTTTGGTCCTTAGTGTGAGCCGTCCGCCCCTAGGTTTCTGCATGTCGATCGTTTTTGTTGTTCTACAATCTGGCTTCCTTTCAATGTGTCCTGTCCAGGGCAGTCTGTCTGTTTTATTGTTGCAAATATGGATGGTTCTTTGTACCATTGAAATAGCTATTGTATTGTACGGATACCCAAAACACTGGGGGTTATATTTTCCTGAGAATTTTCCTCTCCCTGGTAATGAGCAGGTTCTCTGCTCTTCTGGTAAGGGACCAAGTCTCACTTGCGTAAGTTACTACCGGTCCTATGATGTGTATTGTCTTTTTTGTTTCCCTAGAGAGGTTTTTGCTTCTTAGTAGCTTTTGTATGCTGAAAAAAATAACGGTTATCAGCTGTTATCCTTTCTTTCGCCTCCGACATTATTTTCTTGTGCTCGTTTATAGTTGCCCCTAGATCTTTGATTGTAGCCACTCTCTCATAGGTGTTGTTGTTTATAGTTGTGTTTTAATCACTGTGCGTGTTTCGTAACATCATCATATATTTTGTCTAAGCTTCATTTTTATCTCAAGACCCGCTTTGACCGAGACATCTCCACGCTCCCTGAACGCTGTAATTATATCCTTGCGGTCTCTACCAACACGCGCTATATCGCATGCGCATGCCAGATACTGCAGTGGCGGCTCCACTGGTGCTCACACGTATCTTTCTTAAGTCTTTTTCTAACGTGATGTTGGATAGGATGCATGAATCGCTTTGTCTGAAGCCGTGATTAAATAAACATTTGGGACTTCCCCCCCCTCCCCCCCCCCCCTCAGATACTGCAGTGGCGGCTCCACTGGTGCTCACACGTATCTTTCTTAAGTCTTTTTCTAACGTGGTGTTGGATAGGATGCATGAATCGCTTTGTCTGAAGCCGTGATTAAATAAACATTTGGGACTTCCCCCCCTCCCCCCCCCCCGAATGCTCTCCTTGAAGTTTGATTCTACTTTTGGAGTTAGTCATCGTCACATGTATGAGCCGGGTAAGTTTGTTAGGGACTTCACGTTCCCGTAGAGGGAGCATGTTACAGGTAGTTCCAGTCTACGCTATCATAAGCTGTTTTCAGTTTGCGTGCAGTTGCTGTATGGCGACATCTAATAGTAAAAATATGAAAGTCTGAAATGCCCTTTTACAAAATGACTAAAAGAAAAACTGAATTTAAATATGAACAAAAATACATGACTGTATTTTGATTTTATTTCCTTTAAGTTAAGGGGACCCTTGCCCCCGCATTTACTTAAGAATATTCGGATTCCTCAATTTCCGCTATCCTTTTCCTTGACGTCAATCAATGTGACTTAACGGGGTTGAATCTAAACTTGTGTCAAATGCGTATCTTGGGCGCACAACACCAAGAATTAATTTGATTTATGTAGGTGCTATGGTGGACTAGCGGACTGGCCCGTACCGATAGCCAGCCAAGGAAACAGCGCGCAAACGTAGAGAGACTGGACAGAGAGTGTGGGTGTTATGAACCGTGTTCCGGATGCAAGTAGAAAGTCAACACCTGATTGAGAACTTGTATTTATGTATATATATGTTTATGTTACTTGTTTGCAATAAAAACAATGAAAACATAACAGTAGGGCACCATAATGCAACCCCCCCCCTCACACTTTCTCACCTGAGCAATTATTTCTCTTGATCGAATAGTCTTATCAAAACATTCAATTCATATATAATCCAAAAAGGACCTCTAGATTTTTAAATAATCACACACATTCTCTTTAGGATAAGTCATCGGGATGCTCGATTTCTGCCCTACTTCCCGATAAAATAACAGTATTGCTTGCGCTGACAACCAGTTTTGGGTGCCGATATAGTCACTACCCAGCGGCGTGCCTAGTCTAATTTCAACCTTAGGTGGGTTAACTTTGTGTCCACGCTAGCTTTCACGAAATAAACTCTACAGTTTTACGAACATGTCAATGAGATGTACAATGAGATGTACAATGAGATGTACAATGAGATGTACAATGAGATGTACAATGAGATGTATGAGTCTGACGTATCGAATGAGATGGTTGTCAAGGTCATTAAGTCAGCTGCAGTGTGTGTGTTTTGAGTTGGAGACAAATGGGGTTAGTGAGCGCTTTTCATGTCACGGACGAATGCTAGGTTGAGTGTACGAGGCATGAGACTTTGGGGTGAAAAATTGGAGGCAACTTTTTGAGCGGGGAGTATTATGTTCACAGATGTAGGGTGAAGAAGGAAAATTTTGAACACTGTGTGTGAGATAGGGCGAGCCACGGGGGCGGGGGGGGGCGGAGGGGGAGGGCGTGTCTTTTTTGTTTTATTTTGTATAGATTCGCTGTGAGAGGTTTTTCCGGGCAGAATATTGTTGTATATTGTATTTATTTATTTCAGCATTTTTTAGAGCTTACCTTACAGCTCTAAGCGCTTTACAATTATTAAAAATGTGTAAACATTTTAAACTGCTAAAGTAAAATAAAAATGAAAAACCAGAGATACTAGAATAGTAATTACAATGTGAAAAATGACTATAGAAACAGTAGCTTAAACATTAAAAGGGCTATAAAAACGAGTACACTTGGCAAGTTTTGGCCTATGCTACAGGATCAACCCGAGACAGAAACGGATTAGGGTTAGGAATGACGGATGTGGAAGGGGAGCTGGTTCCAGAACGTGGGCGCATGGAAGTAGAAGGAGCGTTCACCGATGGTCTCAGTTTTGGTTCTTGGGATTGAGAGTGTTCTATTGTCAATGGAAGAGCGTAGTTGTCTTGTGGGGATGTAATGAAGCAACAGTTCAGAGAGATAGACAGGAAAGTGAGGGTAAGTGAACGAGTTGAAGCATAGATTGGCAGACTTGTACTTGATACGAGAGGATATTTGAAGACAGTGGAGTTGCCGCATGTATGGTTGAATGTGGTCTTATGTTACTTTGATTTAAACATGAGTCTGCATGCTGAGTTCTGTGCCTTCTGAAGTTTGTCTATGTGGTTTTGAGGAATGCCTGCGAGAAGAGTGTTACAGTAGTTAAATTTTGAAAGAATGAGTGAAGAGACTAGAGTTTGTGTGGCATCAAAGGAGAGGAGGTGTCTAATGGTGCTGATTTTTCTAATTTCGTTGTATGCTGATCTGCATATGCTCGTGACACGTTTGTCCTTGGAGAGGGTGTCTGTAAGCTGATCTGCATATGCTCGTGACACGTTTGTCCATGGACAGGGTGTCTGTAAGCTGATCTGCATATGCTCGTGACACGTTTGTCCATGGAGAGGGTGTCTGTAAGCTGATCTGCATATGCTCGTGACACGTTTGTCCATGGAGAGGGTGTCTGTAAGCTGATCTGCATATGCTCGTGACACGTTTGTCCTTGGAGAGGGTGTCTGTAAGCTGATCTGCATATGCTCGTGACACGTTTGTCCATGGAGAGGGTGTCTGTAAGCTGATCTGCATATGCTCGTGACACGTTTGTCCTTGGAGAGGGTGTCTGTAAGCTGATCTGCATATGCTCGTGACACGTTTGTCCATGGAGAGGGTGTCTGTAAGCGTGACTCCAAGGTTTGTTCAGGAGAAACTTTTTTTTTAAAAAAACCTAATGAAAGTTTGATTTTTTTTATGAGTCTGAAAATCTATTACAAGGACACATTGCTACTTCGTGTCTATAGCTTCAGGACATATTTGGTGACCAACTTTAAAATTACTAAAAGTTTCGATATAATTTTGTCTTATAGATAAACAAATGATCAAACTCATTTCTAATTGAACCTGACTATAGCAAATGAATTTTCGTATTTTTAAATAGAATTTTTTTCAACCCCCAAATACATTCTGGTGATTAGTTATTTGTATATTTTTGATCAGGTTTAGATGACGTCACTGTTTACATACCGAAATGATCCAACCCATTAATGAAAACGGAAACCAAATTAGTGAATCTCGTTCTGGGCCAGAGACGAGTTAATGGCCGATATTGATTTTTCTATATTGGTCTTACTTCAAAGCCTTGCCAATCAATCAACATTGCATCAATTAAAATAATAGAGACACAAAATGTAAAAAATCAATCTAAAACGAATAAGAAAATATTAAAAAATACTGTGGGCTACAACAATGAGTAAACTTTAATCGTTTTTCTAAACAAACATGGAAATAGTGTTAAGCCTTAAAAAAATAAAATATCAAACATTGATTTGTAGGCTTATTCAAATGAAACAAGCATTTGTATTTTAGTATTAAGTATGTTTTTAATTAGGACAAACATTACAAATAAACTTATGAAAGTGCCATATCCAACATGAATCCAAGAGTTGCAGCTAACCAAAGCAACAAGAAAATAACAAACGACACTAAATCTATGTGTTTCCCAATTAGTTTATACTTGTTGACTTTCGGTAGCTCCCCTTGTTTCATCTCTGTTGCTCGCTTATTTCCCTTCTCGTCACAAGATGGCTGCATGCTGTCCGACAATGACGCATTTGATCCGAATAACGACAGAACTTTTCTAGCGGAGTCTTGCTTGCTGTCTGTTTCCGGTGCCTCAAATGCCGAAACGACATTTCGTATTTTGGTTACGTTTGATAACAAGCCCCTGAACTGCGACTTGACTTTTTGATGGGTCGTTTCCTCCTGTTTCAGAACAAATAGACATTTAAAAATAGAATTAAGTATAATTTATTCCTTAACGGGTTAGTGTTAGGGTTATTTTATTTCGTGCCCATTTTTTTGTTTTGTTTTGTTTCTTGACTTTTTTCATGAAGTTTTTTTTTTTTTTTAGAAGATATTTTTAGTGCAACATTGTTCAACAAGTGAACTTACCCCCTCCTTGTGATGCAAGTAGACGATGATGATACTGTCGATGACCGTCAGCATGGACAAGAAGAGTAGGAAGAATAGGTAGATGGTGACATTGGGCATGTTTAAAGACGACCTGGGCAGCATGCCACTCACAATACTCATGAACACGGACAGGGCCAGTAGGACAGTAATTCCTGGAGATGGTACAATTAAAAAGTTAGCCGTTTAAGTGACAGTATGGATGTATGTATGTATGTATGTATGCCATCTTTCCGTCTGCGGGAGACGATAGATTATCTTTTATAGCTTGCAGCTCTTGGTATGGCTGGTGAGACCAATCCACGAATGACAGTATAATGATGTTTTAATGCATGTAAAAGTAAGTAAAAGGACATTAAGCACATACTTTTAAAGTATGTATGCATACGCTCCTGGGGCGTATAGATGGGCATTGAACCGAAGCTGAAAGAACAAAATGAACTCGAACCATTCTGAAGTCCGAACTCGAACCGCACTCAACCGTACTGACGACCGAAACGAAAAAGAACATCTAAAATATGATTCGATTTCTATCTCTTTTGGGCAACGACGAATAGTATTTGCTAAATTAAACAAGGATATACGAAACAAAGTATAAGGGGTTGCTTAGAATAAATATATATTTCCGCCCATTAGTCTATGCGGATGTTGTATGCGCGTGTCATACATTAAAACGTTTTTTCTTCCCACTTATTATTCTATATGTTCCTAAAACTGTACTAACCACTAGATATGACAATGACGTCAATGTAGCAAAAGTTGTCACAAAAGTCCAAGTTAGAACATGCATCGGTCAAGTGGATCACTGTGATAACTCAAAATAAATGGTTTATCCCGCGATATACATGGAAAATCGTTTGCGCCTGTTAGTTTTTGTGAGATGGGGGTGTCTTTTCTTACAGTCATCTCACATATGCAACTCCGGGATAACTGATAAACTAATAAAACACTGATGTTTCATGCAGTGATCACTGGAGACTGTTACATAATACAGAATGTAAGAGTTCTAAAATGAATTCTTGTGCTGAAAATAATTCTTAGCAAATCAAGATTCTGAATATTAAATATTTGATGTCAACAAAACGATAGCTTACCGTAACCGATCTTCTCCCCTGACTCCACTGGAATGACGAAGACGAGAATGTTGAGAAATGAAAGGAAGACAACTGGTAAAATAATGTTGAGGATGAGGAAAGCTGGTCTTCTTTTTAGGGAAAACTTCATCTGAAATATAAATACACATTTCTGGAATTGAATTAAAGTACATTTTAGATCATCGAAATTGGTTGGAAAACATTTTTTATTATACATCTTGTAGTAAAGAAGAATTAAATTTATGCAAACAACTTTTTGTAATCAAAAATATATTTAAATAATTCTAAAAGTGTCTTAATATAAATTGGCACGTTTGGAAGCTGTCACATTCATCTTTCTATGTACATTAAACGAAGATGAGAAGTCCAATTTGGTCAAACGGCAATTTAAAACGAATTGTTTGCAAGAGAATTTGGAGTGGATAATTATTTTGAATACATTTAAATACGATGGTATGGGTAGTGTATTAAAATGAAGAAAATCATTCGACACCAAAAGTATATGAATTATTCTAGTTCACTACCTGAATGCAGGAGAGAGCCGAATCTCCACCAGTGCTAAAGTTTCTGATGATCAGCTCCGTCGATTGTAGTTCCCATTCCCCGTTAGTGATGAAATAATTTAATGAAATGTTGGGAAAGGCGGCGATAAACTGCAGATACTGCGTGCTATATCTCATAGCCACTAGCTGTAGATGAAAGAAGTGTGTATCTATTAGTTGTGTTTTTTTAATTTAACAAACGATTGGGAAACCATGAGGCGGCCCTAAACCCTTGCCATCATGACCCCAAGACCTGCAACGAGAAACTTTAACCGCAATATTAATTTTAGCCTAAAGCTATCGTAATATACAGACAAACTAATTAAGTACAGTCGCAATATCAACATCTGAGCTGTTAGTAAAAAAAAAAGAATATTCTTCATTTTGAAGTTAGATTTTGACTATCTGATTTTGATATAATTTACTGTAGACTAAATAATTTAATTAAAACAAACGCGAAACTTTGAGAAAATTTATTGAAATCCATTTTTTTTACAAACATTTTTTTTAAGGTATGTATATTATATCGATAATGTGCATAAAATAGTCAATAGAACAATACTATTGGAATCGTAAATAATAATAATCTATCCTCCAGTAGAGTTATGTGGATAATAATCTATTCTCTGAAAAATTTGGGCAGATGATAATTCTCAAATTCACTTAAAGACAAAGATTTCAATTTCCTCACCTCAATGATACAGGTTTGCTGGTCAAACGGATAATTGGTTAAATTGAGTTCACAGGAAGTAGGGAACAGACTTCCGGGTGCCCAACCAGTTTCGCCATCGGATAGCACTTTTTTTTTTTTTTTTTTTTTTTTTTTTTTTTTTTTTTAAATTTAGTTATATATCAAAGTATATAAATGTATTGATAATTCCTACAAATTAACTTCAATGGATTTGTGTTGATTCGTTAATAGTTTTAATTTATCTACAGAAATTTGGGTGCACCCTAATGCTATCTGCTGACAACTTATAATCACCTTTCATTCCACTATGAAAGCATGATATCAAATCACTTATAAAAAACAATATGGCTGCTGTATGCATGGCTATCAACATCTCATAACTGTTGGAGTGGGCAAAACCTTACGGAGAGAAGACCGTGGCATACCGTTGCGCGTTACCGGTTGTTGTACTGTGCTTGGCCTATATTATTACCTTGTGATGGCCAGTTTTAAGTAGGTACTTTTCCAAGCAGGTCTATTTCCGCAGTCCGCGCCATGACGCACATGTGTGTGAAGGATTCTCATCCTTTTGTTTGTTCTTGCGTTGTTACTAGAGTTAACTTTTCTTTAATACGGCGAGTGGAAATGTTTTACATTAAAATTGCATTGGTGGGTTAATTATAATCTTTCCATTTTCCGGCACTTAGGAAAATGGGTGTAATTCTAATTTTCTGTCCACTTTTGGATTTTCCTTTTTTGGAGGAGCCTAAAATAAAATGTGTAAAAGTTTATTGCATGAAACTGTCAATTGGGTTTTCGTTATTTTAAAATTACTTTGTTTTTGTTTAAGCTTACATTTACCGTATCACAGTGTGTTACTGTGGCAGCACACGTGTTTATTTTGTTGTTGAGGGAACTGAGCTTAAACGGCCGAAATTATGACTGAAATGGGGTGACCGCCGGTTGTTGACACTTTTCGTCAAATATCTAGAAGCATATAAATAATTAAATAAAGCATCACATACACGAAATTTAGGTACCGGCCGACTTCATTTAAATACTTTTTTTTAACATGTTGGTCCTATTTTCATTACTCTCGGTAAACAGCTAAACCATAACATTCTCTTCCTTTCCCTGCCCCATTTTAGCAGAGGCTTTGTTTTTGACACGGCCGCCACCTTGGTAGTCAACCACGCTCCGTCCGGGTCACGGCAATCAAAGGAAGCGGCCGTGGGAAACGATACGGCCCCGTGGATTGTGTACATTTACCTCGAAGTTAACTATTGATTAGCACTATTATTAGGATTGGACTGCACGTAATGGCGTTATACAAGTAAAATTGCTTTGTAAACTCTGCCCCAGGTCGAACTACTGTAAATATTGAGACAGCACTAGTTAAATTGGCAACAATGACTAAGTTTTATTGGGGCAAATATGCAATATTCAATCATAATGAAGAAATCTTCACTTACTATGCTAGTTATGAAACATTTTTGTTATCAAACACAATACCACAAGAAAAGCAAGCTCAAAGTTTTCTAATAAATTTAACTCCGGAGATTCACGAATTGTGTCAGAACTTATTTTAAAAAAAACAGACAATTCTTAAGATATAATATGTTTATCATCAATGGAAGAAATTTGTTCACTGATGATGAGCTAGTTTGACCCAGCGAAATGTGTCATAATGAAACGTTTTAAATTTTGGTCAGGCCCCAGCAGAAAGCAAGGGGAGTCAATTAAATTATTGGCCGCAAGCATTAGACAACAGGTACAAGAATAGTGGGGACTAAAATACTACAAGCTGAAGCTCTCCACATCCCGCACACAGGACATTTCAGGACATTTTCTGGGAATGGTCCAAGATAGGGGTATTATACATCTCGCGGGCGTTCTCTATGATCCAACTATCAATGGAGCTGACGAACGACCGATCCAAAGCTTCAAGATCTCACTAAGGAAATCCTCATTGCCTCTCAAAAGAAGCTCTAGAAGACTTTCTACGTCAGTAATGTAGGACTCTGTAGGCTAGTGGATTATCACCTAGTCAGCTGCTGAAAATTGGCAAATAAGAACTCTTATTGCTACACTGATTCAATCTCCTGCTCATCGAGCACAGCGACGTAGTCGGCCGTAATGGGGCAAATAGACGTTGTAGGAAATCATTTAACCAGAGAGAGATCCATCTGGAATGGCCTTCCTGTCGCGCGCTCTCGGAAACAGCCAGACACTGCAGTCTTTCAAAACTGAGTTAAAATACATCTTTTTTCGCACTCGCCTGCTGGGGTGATGTGGTCTACCTCCTTGTTTCCAAGCAGCTTGCTCATATTTCTCAATCTATATTGGTTGGTATTGTCCATTGGATTGTATGTAGAGTTTGTATTGTTGCGTTTTGTATTTTATTGCACTTCGAGCCTCAAATAAGGATGAATCATGTTTGTAAATGAACTTTATGATTATTATTATTATGTTGGAATATATGCAAACATAACAGACTCTAAGCCCCGATGTGCTCCTGGTACAATCAATCAAGTTATTGTTCCACGCCTTTTAAAGTAAAAGCTTTATTCGAGTTTCCCATTATTTAAGGGACATTTAGACAAACTTCACCCCACGAAAGTAGCAGAAGAAGATTCAGAACCAGGTTTCAATAAAATTACAGAAAGACATTACCCAACGACTCAGTCAGCACTGAGTCATCAATCATCAACACATTCAACAACTTCAACTCCACCTTAGAATTAGCCCAACCCTCGAAATCCAAGAACCTCAGATTTTAACATACCCAGAAGGTCTCAAAGAAAACCTCAAGCACCCATTGTCTTGGGAGTGCAATGGTTCGCTGACAGTTATTAGAGTTGGCAGTACCTTACGGAAAGACAACTGTGGTAAAATATACCTTTGTGCTTGACCGGCTTTTAGGTTGTGTGCATATTGTATGTGAGCCGCACGAGGAACTCAAATTAATTATTGTAAACTGCACATGTGTTAGTACCTTATTGTTTTAAATAAAACATGAACAATAAGAATAGCAAAGAAGTTCACCCACGAGTCTAGGGTTGCCACCCGTCCCTATATAACAGGACCGTCACCGTTATGGACCTTCTGGTAATAGTAGTAAATAAATTTATTACTTCATCGCTACACCCCCCATCTCAGAGTGTCCCGACGAGGTCCCGGCTAGATATGGCAACCCTACCCTCGACAAAACAAACACACAAGCCCACCTCCAGTCACGTTAATTCAATGTTGAGTTTTTGGAAACAGTTCACCGATTGGTTCTCGTAGCTAATTTAAGTTTAAGTCAATTCACAGTTGTGTCGTAGGATTACGTTCAAATATTAAAGGACACCATTTCATTCTTCTTTTTTTTTTCTTTTTAAATTGGCACGTTCTGGTTCATAATGTTCATATTTAGAGGTCGTAGAAAACTTACGCTTTGTCGTCATCAAAGAGATCCCTGTCAACCAATGTGTTCACAAGGATAATACGAGGGCGCCAGATTTTTTCTGGAATTGGGTAGATGACCACCTGACCCCCGTAGTCACTGGGGTCCCAGGCCACTATCTGAGATAATATCGAACAGTTCAAGATTTATTTTTAATGCGATTTTTTTTTGCATAAGGAAACATGAAGGAATCTCAAAATGAAATAAAAATAACGCCCTGAATGTTGTCGGGATTTTTGCTCAATTCATTAATTTTTAGTGTTAAACACATGACTAGTTTTAACATCTTGAAAAAAAAATATACAAATGGACTACTTAAAATAGTGTAATCATACTTGACTTAAGTGTGGAACAAATTAATCGTTGTTGACAAGAGTACGGTATAAGTGTGTGTAATGTATATGTATACATTTATATTAAAAAGAAAATAATAACAATATTACAAATTACTTTTAAAAACAACTTAAAGATATTCAGTTACTCACCTCATCCCTCCAGATGAAGTTAAGAAAGCCGTTGATGAGAAAGCTTTGGTCCACATCATTGATCTCGACGATTGAAACCAGAGAAAAGATGACGACCACTCCCATCATCTTGGACTGGTCCAGCACGGGTCTGATGTCCGTGTTGTATGTGGACTCGTCCAGCTTATCCTTGAAGATGGAGTTAGTTTGTGAGTAGGTCTGAGCCTCGCCGGGACGACACATTCCGAGGAACAACAGCGGGACGAGATTCAACAGTTTGAAAGGTATCATTTCAAGGCTGATATACCCCGGTACTCAAGTTCTTAGGCCAAGTGTCTGTTCATTTCTTTAGCTTCTGCTGGGGTCGCTTATGCAGAAAAAAAAAACGGAAAATTAATGTGACTTTTCATTGAAACTCTTAAAAGCCATGGCTCACTAATATTTCAGAGATGTCACTGCACCCAGGTTTCTTAATTACAAGATTTGATGTCTGAGCTTCATGCTGCGATACTTCAATAGATGTGGCGCAAAAGCCTTTATTGAAAAACAAAAACAAAAAAACAAAAAAATATAAGTGGACTGCGTCCTTGGAATTCGCCGACAAATTTCGCCTGGACATAATGAAATAATTTAATGGGTACTGTAGACATTAATATTGGCTTTGATGTCATCCTGACTTAATGAAAATAGTTTGTTGTTGTGTGTCATACAAAGCCTGTTGTCGATTTATTTTTTACAACGTGTTTGATGTACTACATCAATTTAATAACTTTTATGATGCACTGCATCAATTGAATGATGTGTGTGATGTAATATATCATTTGAATAACTTATTTGATGTACTACATCAATTCAATAACTTGTATAATGCACTAAATCAATTGAATAACTGCATTTATTTATTGAGGCACAATATATTTTGTGATATAAAATCCAGTTAAAAATGTTAAAACTGACTAAATATTGTTTTTTACTAATACATTATTATTATTTAGCCTTACCTTTAAAAAGGTTAAATATTCCATGATTTTCTCGCAATACATCAATAAAATGGTCTGTAAATAATCTTTCAGTGGCAGTTTTCTCCTTCCATTTTCAATAACTCCCAACGGTTCAGAACTCTGATTTTAAGGTCTCTGTACACCCTGCCTCTCAATAACAACTCGGTAGGTTTGAGGCCTAGAAAGCTTTTAAAGCTATTTATAGACTTGAATGGCTCGCACGTGTTTTCTCCAGATATGTTTCTTTTTTTTCTAATGATTCGCAACCCCATACAAAGTGCCAGGTAACGTACGCAAGCAATGTTCCTGTCTCACCTTGACACGAAACCGGCCAGCTGTGACACTCGGTGCGACAGGTAGGGCCATGATTTGCCTTTTTATGCACACGAGCCTAAATTTATGTCACAATAGTATACGGCACACGATTTTTTTTTTTTTGCCTGGAGAAATCGGAACGAATGAAAACTGCCATCGATTAAATGTATCGATCTTTGGAAACTCATTTTCCGCAATACAAAACAAGGATTATTTAAATCGACGAAATAATTTAACGTAACAAACTGACTTGATAAACCATTTTAATAAACTATCTTAAAATATTTTTTTTGTTAAAACTAACTAAACAAACTCACGTAAATTACCCCAGTGAATAGAGTGACATAAAAACAAGTACAGTAAACTCACATTACAACCCAAAGTAACGAATGCAATCACCCGACTTCACAAATTAACACATATATCGACGTAGTTAGCTAGCACAATACACTGGCCTAGATAGCTGGTGTTATGAACTGACGCCATGGACATGCGCCGTCAAGTGACGCCTTTACATCGTATTTATAAAAAAGGAAATGATGATTTTTTACGGTCGGTATGTAAGATCAATTACCTTTCATTTCAGGACAGAAAGCTTTTCAAGCTAGACATTATGTCTAATTTGATCTCTTTAAATGTAAAGACGCATTCAACTCTATTCGCAAGTCATTCAAGCATTGATGCCTTAGACGTCCGTATCTCAGAGGTGACGTAACAAAATATACATTTAAGAAGGGTAAGTTTTAGAAAGAAGTTAATGTGAAACATATTGCTTTTTTTTTTTTTTTTTTTTTTTGAAATAGTGGTGTTGGCTAAAATGTTTATTATTTGGTCATTGTGTTTCTGAACTGGCGGAACTGCCTTTTAAAGAAAACAAAACTTCAAATAGAAAAATTCATATCAAGCACATTCAAGTCCCGTCGGTGGGCCTCATGAACTGACGTCGCGGACCAGATCCGGCTTGCGGGCCGTAGTTTTGTGCCCCCCCCCCCCGACTTAGGCTAACGGATATGCTCAAGATATTTGGCTTAAGGTACGGTTTTTCATACTTATATAATTTCTTCAATCCCCTTAATCGTTTGAACCAGTGTAGCACACCCCATAAACTGTTCGATGACGCGTCACGCTACTTTTGACAGCCAAAATTAAATTTCAAATATAATTGGAATAAACTGAAGTCCTTATTGTTTATTGAATCACAAAGAGAATTTTTGAGCTATGAAACAAAACATGAGATATATTACATGCATTTAAAACGTTTATGACCAATGTCTTATAAACTGGGGTACTGCGCTTTATAAAACAACCAAATGATAATAATAGTAATAATAATAATAATAATTATTATTATATACATTGTAAATCATTTTTTATTTTAAAACACTGGTTATTATTGATTTGTTCAAGTCACACCAAAATGTGGCCACCCCCTACCTCCACCCTTTTCCACCCATTTATTGTTTCTGTCTTCTGCCATCCAAGCAGACGACATGACGTCATCGCAGGGTTCATGGTCATATTTTATTTATTTTTTTCTTAATGCTTTACTTATTAATAAATGTTGACAGATTAATTAGAAAGATATTTTCTATCTTGTCCATTGTTATTGTTTTGTTGTTGTTTTTTTTTTTGGGGGGGGGGGGGTTCAATTTTTTTTTTTTTTTTTTTTTTTTTTTTCGAAATAGTGGTGTTGGCTAAAATGTTCATTATCTGGTCATCGTGTTCCTGAACTGGCGGAACTGACTATTAAAGAAAACAAAACTTCAAATAGAACAAACAGTTACTTTGTGGACGGTTTTTTGTTGTTGTTTTTTTTTTGCATGTAAATATTATATATATTTTAATTGGTATCTTTAACAAAACATTTTCTGAGAGTGCTTAGCTAAAACTGGTCACAGACATTCACTGGACAAGGAAAGGACCCTTAACCTTAAAATGTTTTGCTGGAGATGAAGAGAGAAATCAGCGATCACTCTAAGGTCTCAAGATCAACTCAAAATTAAGATTATCTTTTCAATTACGTTTTTTTTTTAATACTCCAAAGTTCATGGGGTTTCTCAGAAAATTTGTAGCATAATTTTCTCGGTGTCACACGTGACTCTTTCGCCGTTCAATGTCTGTCTCGTGATGACCTGAAAGAACGCCCGAGTGGTTGACACAGTAGTTGAGCGTGGTCTTACTTTGCGCAATGAATTTGAAGATATTTTCAATTGTTTTCTATTTTTAATGTGTTTCAACTCGTTTGTGATAGAATGGCGTTTTAAACAATTTTTTTAGAATAAATTTCTACGACATTTATTTTTACTCGCTAAACCATGGCGTGTGTCAGTCTGCTATAAGATATTGCGTTGCCGCTCCTGACTGTCCCGTTCGGTCGAAGGAAGTCCTCCTCGTGTAAGATTGCATCTGATGTGATGACACAGAGCTAAAGCTAGTGGATGTTGGGTTGAGAGAGACTGATCTGATTGATGAAGTGATCAAAAAAGTCTACACGACACATTTGTTTCCATTTTCAAGAAAAGTGAGACATTGAAAACTGTCTTATTAATATTTTAATGAAAACTTAAATTGTGTTTTCATTCATCATTCTCAAACTACTGCACGAGATAATTATGAAACATATAAATACACTTTGTCAAGTGAATAGCTGATATCCTTTTTTTTTACAACCTAAAAAGAAGCGATATTGGCTTAAATGTAATAAATTGTGAAATTATTATCATATTCTTTAATTTCATTCATAATTAAAATATGAAGTAAATAAAATGCCTTCCTTTTTGTTTTTGTTTTGTATCTTCTTGATTTCAATGTATTATTTTAGCTCAAAGTATATTTGTTCCAAAATATTTTATAAAAAAAGGAAAAAAATGTCATTTTCTAAAAGAGCCTGATTAAAACCGAGTATAATAATGACAAGTAAAGAAGGAAATGATACGAAAATATATTCTGCCATTTCATGTCACTTAAACATATTCAATCATCTAAATATGATGTAAAAATCCTAACCTCTCTTTTTTAAATTTTAAGAACGAAATGACCGAAGATTTTTGGATAGTTATCAATCTAATATGGGAATTAAAAAATCCATATATTTTACCTCAAACCGTACAAAAGGAGGCGTAATTATCATTGTATGGTATCCCGTAAACAGGGCTTGGACACATATCCTATGGTATCATACGTCGGTTGATTTATTTGAAGAGATTGATAATGTTAATTTGGATCATTGATTAATTGATTTTATTATGAATTCAACTATAATATTTCTAAATGAATATCAAGTGACTTTTGTTTAAAATGACTATGGAGTTAAATTTTTATTTTTTTAAAGTTGAAATAGTCATTGCAATCGATGCATTCAATATATTTGAAATTTTAAAAAAAGACACATTTATTTACATTTTTTAAGTTTGTACCTTCACGCTAAAAACGCTTGACATCTACATATCTATTGGTAGTAGGTTAATACGTACTGTTATCAGTTTGGAGAAATTAATCTCTTACTTAAATATACGGATCGTTCTAGTACAGTCCCCAACAAAAGACGATACCAGATGTAAAATAAAATAACGAAGAATACCATACTCAAAACTGGTCTAATTACAATTTATATTGTTTTATTGTGTTAATTATAAATTACAAAATCAAAAAGAAATATAATTAGAGATAATTTCTTACAGTATAATGATTGGCTTGTATCGGTACAATGTTGAAGAAGATAAAAATGTTGTAAAAGGAAAGAATAAAGAAAAGGAACTTACACACACACAGTAAGCAAATCTCTTTCTCGTAGCAAAGCTCTGTAGCAAAAATAGCACACGCTCAAAATATCTCTCATCTGATCTACCCCCCACCCTCCCCCAAATCTCTCTAGGCGTTTATATAGCCTGTTTCATAGATACTTCTAGAACGGACTACGCATTGCATTTCTTTCTCGATAGTTCTACATAATTCCACAGAATTCTAATAACAACACAGACCATATATTTTAGTTGGTGGTAATCGAGGTCAAGGGAGACTATTTTTAGTTATCCACACCCTAATAGCGCTGCCTAACTCACCCGGGGTGTAGCACCCCCAGACAGGAGACATGCGTGTGGAGACCAAGGTCTTGTATGGTATCTGCGGTAGAAATAGTACTGATGTATGATACATACCAAAATACGGTTGAAAATAACACCAGATACAGGAAGGGATCATCATAACAGGCTTCCGTTAATGGATATGAGGCATGGGTGGATTGTGTCAGCCCATGTCAAGGATTCTATCATAAAGCCTTTGAGGGGACTGTTCCTACACAACCATTTCGTCCTAGCTGTTCAGTGATTTATTCGCGAGGTAGAAAACCACTTGAAGAAACTTGAAGAGGGCTTCTGAGGCCACCCTGGGATAAGAAGTGAGTGGTGATGTGTGTTTAGTGAAGAAAGACAACGGTGTCAGTAATGAGATCAACAAACGTAACATTTTACACAAAGAACGTCCTTCACGAAAAAATTTGTAAGATTTGAAGCGCAGAGTTTTTATCAGAAATAAGATTATAACATATGGTTAAAAATATCGTTAAATTTTTTTTTATACTGTTTAGAAAATAATTTTCTGGAAGTTACTTAAATTTCAAAGAATGTATGTGTGAAAGAGTATTTAAAAAATTATACATGTTTTTCTGTCCAACATTTCCAAATAATTTCTACATACACGTTCTTTGAAGCCCTTGTCCAGAGATTTTACAAGGCCATCTGTTTTACCTACCATATCTCGGGCACCAACAGTACCGATACAAGACAGGTTCACCATCAGTACCTATACCAGATATGTTCAAGAAGGAAAAAAAAATTAAATAGGATTATCACATATTTGACAGCTTCATATAAATCTTTTAATTTAGCTGTGTCTTTAAATAACACTGAGAAAGCCATTTCCATAGCGATACTTTATTGGTCCTAAACTCCCTTAGCCGCAATCTCATAGAGTTTGACACTTTAAGATAAGTTGTTGGGTTG